AAGGAATCTATACAAGTTTCACAGGTATAAATGGTAGTGTTAAGTTTCTCCTCACATGTATTTTTATAATTTTGTAAAATAGAAAAACTAGCAAAAGAAATAGAGTGCTGATCCAAAAGCTGAAAAAAGTTTTTGGTGCTATTCTGTTATTGACTTGCAAGGTAATTTTATTTTTAAGTCCCTTATAAAAACCATGTCTTTTTTATTTTTTCATATGCATGTTGAGTTTAGTTTCAATCCTAATGTTGGGGAAAAGATATATTTTATATATACCTTCATGTATAAACATGTTTAAATCGGAGGCTTGCCATGCTTAGAGGCTGGTTGTAAATGAACGAAGTTTACTAATGGCACAGTGTCCTTGAGTACTGTCCTCAAACCTAGAACACTCGCTGTTTATCTGTACATACTTGACGTTTAAACACAAAACCTTTGTCACCAATTACTGGTTTCCTCACTGCACTGAAAACAAGCCATCTTTGTCTCTGCTTTTGTTCATGCCTGCTAGTTCCCCTAATGTATAACCTGTCCATAATGTGTAGTAATAGCCAAAAACTCAGATATTGATGTCAGCAAAATCAGTTTTGAGTCATGACTCTAAATTATTAGTGTGACATTGGGTAAAGTGTTTTAGCTATCTCTGCCTCTGTTTACTTATTTTTAAAAACAGAGTACTGATACTTCATGGATTTTTTTAAATGTATCTCTTGAGTTGTCTGTGATGATTTGAATGGAATGTTACCATGTTGTTTTGCCTAAATAGTTTTGAGTTGATGCTTTACCTTGTAAATTCCCTTTAAAACAATACGCATTGTTAAGTAAGAGTTATGTATATATGTATCTATATGTAGGCACATAATACAGAGAGAAATATTCATTAAGTGAAACTTACTTTAAAATACTAATAAGTAAAATACTAGGTAAATATATGGTCCATTTTTTGGACAATTGATGTAAGTAGCAAACTGTCTTTTACTTCAGATTGATTTTGAGGGGGGTTATACTGCATTCAACTAATCTAGTCTGTTAAGTCTGTAATATAAAAAGATTTGTAGATAATAGATTTTGTGTTCCTGAACATCATTTTATAGATCCTGCACTTCTTCTGGGTTTATATTGTTGCCTTGTTTTAAGGAGATCTTTTCCGTGAACAGTATAAGTTAGTATTTTGAAAATTCCCTATCAGAAGGCTAGCACCATCTTGACAGTCCTGTGTTCTGCTTCTACCTTGCTAATTGTTTCCTTGGGATTATTTGGATTGTGTGGAAAGCTTTATTGCAAATCCTCTTATTACTGAAGTCATTGTTGCCAGCAGGAATAAGATTAAAGGTGCTTAAGTCTGTAGAGTTGTTTCTAATTTGTACGTGTCATTTCAGTGGCATATTAACAGAACTCTGTCTCCTGTCCCTCCCTTCTCCCCCAGTACTATCTCAAGTTAGGTCCGAGAAGCCAGGCCATTGGAAGAAATCTCATTTTATCCTCCTAATTGTTATGCTGGCACTCAGGAGATAATTTTTCCCTTCATGCACTGCCAATTAATATGCAAATAGGCTGATAAATATTTATGCAATGATTTAAATTATGCAGGGAGTGCTTTCAGTGTATTCTGTAAATGAATTGTTCCTGGACTTCAAAGTGCTGGCTGCTGTGCTAACGAGGAGAGATTTGCATAAGGCCCTAATCACGCGCATACTGATTAAGCTTCATTATGGAAACTGCCAGCTGCAATCTTTGTTTCTATTTTATTACAAAAAGGGGAACTTTTCATGCTTCAGTTGCCTTGACAGTGTCAGTCCTAGCTGGTAGGAGAGACTAAAACTCCTCTGAGCAACTGAAGTTTCTTTATTCAGTTGAAGATTGCTATGGTGTAACTGAAGTTGTATTTTCTTCTCCCCCTAATCCACCTTCCACCTCCCACCCTTGTTCTGTTAAGAATTTAGTGTAGATTTGTTAGAAATAGTAGCACCTTCTTTCCCTCATCCCAAACCGATACCTGTTTCTTCCTTGCTTTGGACTGTTTGAACCTCTAGAAGATTTCACAGCAATGCTGGACTGCAGTGACTATGTTCTAGGTGGGTACCAGCAGAGTTCTTTCTTATAAGCTTTAATATGGAAATAGCATGTGTGGGGTTGACTATGCATAAATGCTTAATCGCATATGCAACCAGCTCCTGGGAGGGGGAACAGTGGATTGAGCAGGGAAGGAGGAAAGCATTTGCAAAGCACAAGCATCCTGGAATTTGCAGTAGGTCCCTCCCTACCACTAGTTCTTCTGGTTCAGAGGATATTTTCAGTAAATAGTGTGGATTTAGAATTCAATTTGAGTGGAGGACATTTTTGCTTTTTGGAAATGTCTATTTGAGAGCATTTCATGAAGTTCTAAAAACATTCTGAATTTTAAACAAGGTATATAATGTGTACCTAAATAATATATACATATTAATAATATATTTTGCATATTTAATACAGCTGAGTTACATAAAAACCAAAAAGGCTTAATGGAAAAGAAGGTGGAGTCATAGTGCATAAATGCTGATGTAAGAAGGTTACTACAATAAGACTGTAAATTTTTGCATTTTAGAAACTATTAACTGTTTTTAAACTTGGTCTGATATAATTTTTTTTTTTAAGTTATAAAAGCTAACTTCTGTTCTTCATAAAAGTTTTTGTTTTGTTTTGTTTTGTTTTTCTTTTTTTAATTTTCCCTGTAGACCAACAAGCCTTTGGGGAGGGACATGTCTGCTTTGAATATAGAAACTGATTTGGTAACTATTTAAAATAGATTAAGACACTTTAGTTTTTAGATATACAATGGCTCATTGGCCATCGTTTGTGCTGAGTTTTTTCTGTATGCAAAATTATCAAAACTTCTTACTCTGATCACTTAGAGAATCAGATGGTACGACCTGTTAGGATTTTGTTATCTCTCTTTTAAGACCCTTGAAAATGATATTTTTCTTAGTATCTTATTTTTCCCACATGAAAAATAAGGCTGCCCCTATCACCTTCACAGTTGTCAAGAATAAAATAGAATTATAATTCCAAAAATGTTTGATTTCTTAGGCAGAAGGCATGGCCTAAATCCAAGATAGCAGTAATATCTGTACTGCATGGCGAAAACCACTGTTAAAAGGGCAAATGACAACAACAAATGGAGGTCAAGAATCCCACCCCACAGCAACTTGTTGACTATGTATTAGACTTCTTGTACAGTCAGTTGAGAGAAAAAAGAACTTCAAATATCAGGGGAAAAAATTACTCTTTTATATCTGCTAAGTTGGGAACTGAGGAAAGTATCTTTTAAAGTACCTTTTTGAAATATTTGCCATTAAATTACATCTCTGTTATTTTCAGTTAGCAGTGAATAATATTTAAATAGTCTTCTCATAGTTGCACAGTTAATCCAAATTTTGCTGTTTTATTTTTTGTGAGTAATTTTGTTAAATATTTTTGAAGCTCTTGAAAATACAATGGAAAATTCTTCAGATTCATGTAGAATGTAGAATACTTGTGATGTAATCTTTAATTTATAGATGTGGAAATTAGGGTATGAACTGGACAAGGTGAGACTTGTTAAGAATTATACCTTTTTTTGTTTTTATGATGTGTGGAAAATTGTCCTTTTTATGAATGTTAACTGGTTCATCATTTTTATTACTTTATTATATCTGTTGTGATTTTGACTCTCCTAAGATTTTGGCTAAGTCATTCAGAAAGCTGATTTTCACTAAGTTGTACACCTGTTCCTTTCAAACCTTAGTGTGTCTTCAGATGATTCTTAAAATTTTTCTGTACAGTAGGTGTGGGGAGGAAGTTGTGGAACCACCATTATTTATGACTCAGAATTTGAACCTTTTGAACATTTGAACCAAAGATATGATAGAATTTTATAAATCCGTAAGACAAGCTTCTGTTGTCAAGACTGTATTAGAACAACTATTATACAGCTTCTGTGTTGGAAATGAAATTTATGGGGAGAAGAACTCCTGATTCTCATCCATTATGCTTGGGGATAATGCAACTGGACAACTTGTTTGGGACTACTAATGTACTCTTTGGTTGACAAATCATATACAATATAATTTAAGTATTCTCAACTAACAGTTATAGTTAAATGAGTCTTAAGCTTATTATGGGCAAAGGCAGAATTTGCCTCATAGTAAACTTGTTTGATTATAAATATGGTAAGATCAGTTTGCAAAAATAGAGTGAGATATATATTTACTGTATTTAGTCTTTGTCCCTTTGAAGAGGTAGAAGAAAAGCAGATTGCTCTGTCTCTTACAGATCTTCCAGGATACTTAGTATTGCATATTTTTGCAATGAAACCCTCATTAAACAGATATCCCTATAAGAAAGAAACCCACATTGACAAGTTCATTTAGGTACCAAGATAATATAATTTTTAAGTGGGTGTGGTTATGATGTAATTTTGAAATTATTAGCTATATCTGTTATGCCTGGTGATACAACTCTTCTATGGATTATGACTGAGGTATGAATTTGGCATATATTCCTTTAATATATATTTAGTGTGTTCAGTCTATTATGAATATGACAACATTGTTTTGGTTATAATTAATATCTTTACTTATGGGGAAAAACTTTATTTGATACTAACATGCTTTACTTTGTGAAGTATTCCATATCTTCTGTGGCTTTAACATATTTTATGCTTTTGAAGAATTTATTCCTTTTATATGTTAGACTATTATAAATTTTTTCAAGTTAGATTTCTCTTACCTTTCTTGGAACAATCTTAAAATTCTTTCGGAAGATAGTTTATTTGTAGTTTACTTCAGGGTTTAGATTCCGGAATATTGAATTTCTTTCAGATAAACTTTCTTTGCAGTTTCTGATGTTTTAGTATTATGCTGTCTCTCCTTGAACTGTAGGATTGTAACACGAAGTATTCTTAACCCTTTCCTCTGCTACAACTTTGCCTTCCTAACCTTACATTCCTAATTTTTAAAAAAGCCTTCTTCACCTGTTTATTGCAGACTCAAGAATGAACAATCCGTCAGAAACCAGTAAACCATCTATGGAGAGTGGAGACAGCAATACAGGTAAGAGATGCCTCTCAGAGCCACCTTTTTAATTAGATTTAATAGAGCTAATGAAAGAAACTCTCCATTCAACTGTGCCTCATACTTGGCAAGACTGATCTGAGAATTGAGATGTCAACTAGAATTTTGTATTTGTAGGTACTGGGTGGTGTTTGCTTAAGCTTATCTGATTTCTTCTATAGTTTCCTTCATCATTTTTGCTGCTCTCAGAAAAACTGTGGAATAGTTGAGATAGTCCTTTGGGTCAGATAGTTGTGGGTGTGAATTATGGATTTGCCATTTCCTAACTATGGCTTAATTTAGTCAACTATGAAATGGGCATAATATATTTCACAGGTGGTAGTGCATGGTACTGGAGAAGTGTTGAGCACAGTTTAAGCTACACACTAACCTTCAGTCAGAGATCACTCTCATTATTAAGTGTTGATCAAAATAGTGAAATCTTATCCACCCCACATTCACTGTAGATCATATTAAAGTTATGGTATAGCTGTAGTTTAAAACACATACCTATTTCTAGTATATCCTTTTATTTGGTTATTAAATGACTTACCAGGAGAAAATTAATGTTATATAAAAGTGAAAGCTGTGGTCTTATGAGAGAACGGTAAGTCCATAAAAGAGAATCACCAAGGTCTCTGTTCTTAATTCGGTTCATGGCTTAATTCAGTTGACAAAGTGCTTTTGCCAAATAGGCTTTAGAGGCTTAGAAGACATTAGACTATATGTCTTTATCATCTGCCAGAGGTGATATAGGGACTGACACAGTTTCTGGTAAAAGCATCAATTAAAATACTCAACCAAATAAGATGGAATTATGGTCAGGGATACATGGAAGAGTAATAGTTTCTAAAGTAAATCAGGTTTTTTAATTGCAGAGTGTTACCCTTTGACCTCTTCTTTTAAGGAGATGATAAGTGGAGTCACTTTTTGCTTTCTACCCCTCCTGGCCACAAAATCTTTTAATTTGTAGATGAGTTTAATCAGTATATCAATAGTAGCCTTTTGCCTTATTTATCTTTCATTCTAAACTGCTCTATATTTGGAGATACTTGTGAGTCTTTTAATCTCTAAAGTATACTTGCCTCTTTATGTGAAACCTAGCCATGGGGCTTCCTGTTGTTGAACATGTTTCTCAAATTACTCTGAGGCTGACCAGGTAGACCTTCAGGTAGACCTCCTGAGAAAAGGGCAAGGGCAGCATTCTCATCTGTCTGATTTGTCAGCCACATTCTCTTTTCCCCTGTTTCTCTGTTGCTTGTTTGGACCCTGTCTTTCATTGTTCTGTAGCCCTGGTCCCTCTGCCAGTATTGGTGCTCTGGCTACCTGCTGAGGTGTGACTTGTTTACAGAGAGAAGTGATGCAGTTGATTGCATTAAGCCATTAGGGAAAAGGGAGCAGGACCTCAGAGCCTAAAGAACAGCTTCACAGAAGAGGCAGCATGTATTTCTAAGGAAAGATGAACAGACTCGCAAAATGATTGGAGAACACTGAAACAGTCCACTACATCGAACTCATGGGGAGTCCACTTCTGTAAGAGAAGTTTAGTTGCTACCATTTATTAAGTGCCTGTATCATTTAATAACATCATCCGCTTCCCCCATGACACGGTCTTAGCAATCTTAATAAGCGCTGTATGCATTACTGGATTTCAATTTGCATTCTTATGACAGCTCTGCAATTGAGATATTATTCTTTTAAGGAGTAGGGATTGAGGCACAAAACCAGGCAGGAAATAAAGGCAGGATCAGGATTTGCATCTGTATATGGTTTGTGCATGAACTGTAGTAAAATAAGACCAGAATTGATCAATGCTTTGTATTTGTTCAGGTCTAAAGTCATTTTCAGGGCTGTATAAGGTGAGTTCTAGGTGGTGCACGTGTTGAAATATTTTCATGAATTTCTTGCTCTGTTCTAATATAGGATGTGTGGCAAGCTCATTACCACCGTAGAACTGAGTGACATCAGCTTAGATATTTTATTTTTTGATATCTCTAAAACTCTGATTTTTGTGGTTAACAACTGAAACATTTTAGAATTCTTCCATCACCACCACTAGTTGTCAGTTTTCCTTTTCCCTACAAATAGAGGAAAATTTTATTGCTTTTATGCAAAAAGTTACACTAATGCAATAATATACAGCAGTCAGATTAAATATGAGATGACCAGCCAGCCTGACTCTGGAGTCACCACTCACTTCCTCTATGTCATACAGCATTTATTGACTTCGTAAAATTGCAAATTACATGCACATTATGGACCTTTATGTTCATTTGAGAATAATGAAACCTTGAATGTCAGTCTCTCAAATATTAAAGGTCTGTCTCTATGTTCTTAGCATCTCCCACTAATGTCAGTTTGTTAGTATAGGAATAGAAAAGTACATTTAAGTCCAGTTTGCATGTTAAATTACCATGTTTGATATATTAGATGAAAAACTACAGTTTATTCAGATACTTACAAATTGGCTTTCATTTTAAAATATAGCTAACAAGCCTGAAGATTGTTTGATTTAAAGAATTACGGGCTCTTAGTTTTTACTAGTTTATGCATAAGTACAATTTCAATAGAAAGAACCCTTAGCATTTTTATTTATGACATTGTTAAGGAGGATACTTTTGTAAAATGGAGATTGTGTTGATATGTTACTTCCTTGCCTTTCTCCTACTCAGTGATTTATTTAAGTTAACCACCTAAATCTGACAATGTACATTTGTCAGATAGGCTTTTGACAGCTTCACAGAAAATCTACAGTTTAGGAATCTTAATTTATTCAGTAAGTGCCTGTCCTATATATAAAGTATTGCACTTAAGTTATTAGGAGATACTATTGCAAACAGGTAAGACACCCACAGTCTTTGAGCAATTCATCAAGAGATGAGACATGGGCCTCTCTGGTGGTGCAAGAGGTTAAGCACCACACTATGAAGCATTCCACAGCATGAGTTCCAAAGCCTCTGCAGCACGAGTTCGATCCCTGGCTGGCCAGGGAGAAACCCACATGGCGAGGCAGACCTCTCCTGTCTCGCCCACTGCTCCCCTCAGCGGTATATTTCAGTGGATCTGCCTGTTCTGTTCCCCACTCTGTCACTGGTGGATCCTCTCACCCCCCGCATCTCTGACCTGTATCCCAGATGAGACAGATAATCAGATAATAGAGTCAGGATAGAGTATGGTGATTCAAAAGGAGGTATAAGAAAGTACTATAGTAGTGTTTATTTGTTTTGTTTTGAGAAAATTTGAGTGTGTTTATAGGCTAGGTTAAAGGAACCCCCAGATAGGAAGAGATTGATGAAAGAAAAACAGTTGATCAAAACAAGATAGGGGAGAAGGGCCAGTATTCAAAATGGAGGTTTAACTCTGAAAATGAAAAGTTACACCCTTTTTCTAAAATTGGGGAGAAGGTAAGACTAAACAATGATATAAAATTGAGGGGAAAGGGAGAAAAACAATGAGAAATAATTCCAATTATATTGCTGCATTTTTCTTATTTCTCAAAAAAAGTAGTTGAGGTGGTCATTGAAGAGAAAAGCAGGATAATAGGTATAAAAATGGCAGCAGCCTAACTACCATTTGTTGAATTCTTAATATGTATGTGTGACTAGCCACTTTATTATATGTATTTTGTTTCATAATTGAAATACTTCTAGGAGGTTATAGTATTATTTTATAGATAAGAGAATTAAATTCATAACTGTTTAGTATTTTACAAAGACTGTGAACCTTTCATTACCTCGTATTATCTCACATTGGCAGAAAGATGGAATGAAATGGATTTGGGGGTTGAATATGAGTTTTGACATAGTTACCTTTAAGGAATTGATTTGAATGAATGAATGAACGAATGAATGAATGAATAAAAATATTAATAAGCTTATTGAAGGTCAGGCTCAATCTGAAGAAAACAAATATGTAGTCATCTAGCCAATGTGGTTATGGGACCTTTCTATAGAGTAGCTCAATCGAAGAAAACAGAAGATTGGATTATTTTACCATAATGATATTCTTTAAAAAAAAATTGCCCATCTGGATAAAAAGTAGGACAGATGTATCTTGTAACAATTCTTTTGGCCAAGGATATGGCCAAGAATGCCTCTCCTAGGGGAAATAATAACTCTCCATTTCTTCCTCCTCTCAGCCCTTGGCAATTAGTCTACTCTGTCTCTGTGAATTTGCCTATTTAGATATTTTATATAAGTAAAATCATACAGTATTTGTCCTTTTGTGTCTGCCTTATATCATTTAGCATATTTTCAGGATTCATTTATGTTGTAGCATATATAACTGAATAAATTCCATTGTGTGTATAAACCACATTTGTTGATGAACACTTGGGTTGTTACACTTTTTAGCTATTGTGAATAATGCTGTAGTGAACATTGGTGCACATGTATCTTAGAGCCCTGTTTTCAGCTCTTTGGGGGTATAAAACTAGTAGTGAAATTGCTGGGTAAAACAGCACAAATTTATTATCTTAAAGTTTTGGGCATCAAAAGTCCTAAAATCAAGGTGTTGGAAGGACTATGCTCCTTCTGGAGATTCTATGGAGAACATGCTTCCTTCCCTTTTCCAGCTTCTTTAAGCTCCGTGCATTTCTTGTGTTATAGCCTCTTCCTCCATCTTCAAAGCCAAATCCTGCCCCCAATTTCTTGCTCTCCTCATCTTCCCTTTCGTGATCACATCTCTGACTTCCTTGCCTCTCTCTATTAGAAGGGCTATTGTAATTATAGTGGGTTCACCCAGATAATTGAGGAAAATATCCCCCATTTCTAGACCAGATTTGCAAAAATCCTTTTTGCTATGTAAGGTAACTGTTCATAGCTTCTGGGGATTAAGAAGTGGATATCTTTGAATGACTGTTGTTCTACTTTACAACAGAATTTTATCCTAAAGTAAACCAGATCCATTGTTATATAGCTGATATTTGGAAAAATAAAGAAGTGGTATATAGTTTTATAAATGTCAGTAGAAAAACATGCATTTTTTTTTTTTAAATGTAA